CCGGGGAGGTAGGCAGCCCCGCTCGCCTCGCCCGTGCATTGCCTATCTGCACGGCGCCACGGTCTAAATGTCCGTACGATAGTTGCCACAGTTTTACATAGCCCGCCCTTCTGCTTTGACAGAGCAATAAAGTATGGGCTTCTGCAATCGATCTTGTGTTCGACTTATGTTATGTCCGGCTCGTCCGGCTGTGCCTCAAAAATGATATGAGCTAGAGACTTGAAATTTTCAGAGCGATTCACTCCTGAGAACGAAAAGCCTACGGCAAATCCCGGCAACCAACCCTAAGGGCAAAAATGGCAGGTCCAAAACGTTGAAAAGAAACTAATTTGGTTACGGTCATCTTAGGGGTAACTCGGGCAAGTACTATGGAACATTTAGATTGTGAGGTATGATGTTTGGGGTGTTTTTTGACATATTATGAAGCATCATAAGGCGTAATGCGAGTTTGGCGACCCCTCGCCGTTTTCTTGCCGTATTGTTTTTTAAAGCGAAAGGGGTGGGAGGGTGAGTTGAGCCGCGGTGTCATTATTCCCGGGGACCGACTCGCCAGCGTGTACCCAGTACCATATGTTATAGGTATTATAGAAGTATTGTAGAATATTTTAAGTATTACATGGTATTACAAGATATGATAATTACTGTGGTATTATAGGCAGTTTTAGGGGGTACCATAAGATAATAAAGCTAAAGATGCATCGTGGTATTAACGCCAGTGGCTGGCCGGCCCGACGACCCCAGGCGTACCCATGCCAACCTAAAACGGTCTCGAGTCGCTTTTTTGAACTTCGAACCCTCGGACGTACTGCAGCCATGACCATTGGGAACACCGCTCGGGAGCCTGATTAACCCATAAGCGTAGGGCGCCACTCACTGCGAAACGGATTTCAACATCAATAACTTCAAAAAGGGTTATCACGACTTCTTGTTCATAGCGACCTGGAGCAATACGAAAGCATGCAAAAAGCGAACAAATCTTTTGGCGTCGCGGGCTACACCTGCCCTCGCACCTGCCCCTGTGTGACCCTGTCTGACCACTTGGCAACGGTATTCCACGCCTCAAGCCACAGGCCAATTCAATTTACTGTTTTCTACCGATTCATTGATTTGGAATTTGGAAAGAAAATATTATAGGGTATTTTAGGGTATTACACGAGAATAGTATTAATAAAGGTGGTCGGCCTCGTGGTCGGCAAATATTCGTTTGGCGGAAAGTCGCGCCCGCGGGCCTGCCGGTTCTGGGTGTCCGCGCGGATTTCGACCGCAGGTCTGTGTCACGAGTATTCACAATCATGGCGCCCGCTGCAAGTGCGTGTGCATTACTTGAGTAGTGATGGCGTGCGATGCGAGAGTGTTCACGTGTTGCCCCGCCGTGGCCCGCCCCGCCGGCGGTATCGCCAGATAGCGCCGCGTCGATCGATACTATCGCAGCCGCCGCCGGGAACTGGACCATCCTACCCCTGCCTCACCCAGCTTCGCGGCAATAGTGAGCTTTGGCTGGCGGAAGGAAGAAGTAACTAAATTCTTGTGTAAGGTACGCAGACGGGTAGGCCTATGTGCACGTGCATGCGTTACTACGCGAACAAAATTCTTACGTACTTACTTACGCACAATCTTTGCATAACCATTTAAGGAACTCGTACATAATTCTGTGCTCTGCACTAAATAGCTCATCAATTTTATTGAGTGGAGGGAGAGAACATAGTCGTTCCTGAACCGTACGTGGTCGAGCTTTTGCCCTCGGCTAGGCCCCCGGCGTGACGTGGAGGCGGGTAAGGTATCGGCCAATGGGGAACGTTTACGTTCTACCCCAATAGCTTCTTACTCCCAAAACTACACTATGTAACAGCACTGGCGAGCGCCTGGCGTCCCCAGCTCACGAAGCAGGAGTGACGAAGGCGTGAGGAGGCCTGGGTGGGGTGGGGTTGTTGTAGTGCCGTAGCGACTTCAGACTCGGTCTCCTTGGGGCCTTAGAGGACTTGAGGTCGTGTCGGAGGCCAGCAGTCACAAGAGCCACCCGAGTCTGGGACTGGGGGAGGGAGGGGGCGGAGGCGGGCGCCAGCAGGTGGGCGCTACACAGCTGCCAGTTCCCGTCCCGGGCGGGGCGCGGGGCGGGTCGCGGAGTCAGCTCGCCCACCCACTCTGACGCCACGGACTGTTCAGTTGCACCCCAACCCCCCGCACTCGGACGACATAGCGTTATCTATCTAACATGGAGCGGGCCGCTTGGAAAAACGTAAAGCTGCGAGTAAACCGTGTGAATCTTCATGCTTATCTTACCTTTTCATCCGAACTACCATTGATCGTCGGCTTCCCTACCCTCCTTTTTCTCGTAATGATTTGGGTGATCTGCGCTGCCCATTGCAGACAATTTCTTGCGCCTCCGAAGTTAGTTGCCTGTTTTGATAAAGATTGCCGGTTCATGTTCCAAAGATTTGCCGATCGATCAACGTTCCAGTTTTAGTAAAGATTGGCCTATTAACGTTCCAGTTTTGATAAGCCGATTGATATTGATGAAGATATGTGCGCTACTATTATGCCGTGTGTCAGGGCTACGAGACAGCAGCAGGTGGGTTTGCCTACTCGCTCTGCATGGCCCCTAGAGTGTGCAAACCCGCAACACCGTTGTGTCGTGGCCCGGACACGGGGTACACGTGGTGGCCGTTTGGAGCCGTTGCCCCGTTGGAGCGTTAGAGTATGCTAGCCCGGTTCCATGAGTGCGGCCGGGTTGCCTATTCGCACGGGCCCCAGGCGCTGCGGTAGGTTCAGTAGAGGCTAAGCCGGTCGCGCGACTGCTGCCGTCGCTCGCCGTGGCGCCTTCTGGTAGCCCGCCCAAACACCGGCACAGAACACCCTCCCCGCAGGTGGAAATACTGATAAACGGACTCCGATGCTGGGTCCGCTTGCTTGGGTGGAACTGGGCGTGGTCTTATGTGTGATTTTTATGAAGCGCCCGGAAAGCATCCTGAACATGGAAACAGTCGGGTCACGGGTCGAGGTCACGTCAGGTCTCCCCGGACAGCCCGGCCATCGCGGTTCTGTCCACGGGGTGCGGCCGTTACTAGCCCTCAGCCAGCCCTCACCTCAACCACCCCTCGCCCGTAACTGTAAAAGTCTTACGAAAAAACTCTTATCTTACAGTGAATTTTGAACCCACATAGGCTACAGGGTGGTCCACAGACCCCCTCCTTTATTTTGCTTGTACTGTGCCGCATGCAGGCGTGCGTGCGGGCTTGCCTACACTTCCGCTGCGTCTTATGGCCCCCGTGCGAGTATGCAACCCGGCCGCACGCCTGCATCCGGTACAGTATAAGCAAAATAAAGGAAGGGGTCTGTGGACAACTCTGTATTACCAGGTAGCTTATTTACCCGTGGTAAATTTTTGACTGTTGTTTGTTGTTGGTAATGCTGTAGTTTTTATCTACGGTGACTAAAAAGGTACGAGTTGTCGACTTGACTTGACTAACCACGAGGCCTCTTTTGGCCCAAGGTCGCCCACCTAAAAATAAAGTTTTAACAGGCAGTGTGTTTGTAAAAGTGCTATATGTTACTGGCTTTAGAAATGCATGAAAGTCGCCAAAGGCACTAAAATTTTGCACCCTTTGGCCATTTTTGTGCCTTTCCCCGGGTGTGGGGTGCATCTCTAAAGATTCGAAAGTCAATAACACCCGAAGAAGGGTGTTGATTCCTACCTGTGTTCTTCCAGTGTCACTATAAACACTAGAGTCTATGGTCTCTGGAGAGATTTTCGCTGACGTTTCTTCTCTCTGCCTCATTGCCAGGCTCGCCGCCTCGCCGCAAGCCGGAGCGCGCCGCCACGCTGCCTAGCGGAGCGAGTCGGAAGCCCCACCGCCGCCCCCCTGGGTCCGCTGGCTCCGCCGCCGGCGCCGCCCCTGCCCCCTCGGCCGCGCGCGGGCGTGCCTCGGGCGCCTCCTCGCGCAGGGCGCCCAAGCCCCGCCGCTCCAGGATCAAGCAGTCCGCCTCGGCGCTGCCCCGCGCCCCGCGGCCGCCGCGGCCCCAGGAGCCCTTCACGCTGGCCGACGTGCTGCCCACCTGGAGGCCCACGCCCAAGGACACCTTCCCCAAGGACCTGCGCCGCGCCGACAATGTCCTCCTCGCCCTGGGGCTGAAGCCCGCCAACAGCAGGGTCGCCGAGACCTTCTTCAGGACCGCCTTCGCAGGGTGAGTACACGACGGCGCGGACCTTGGCCGGAGTGCCACGCGCAGCGGGGACGTGTCAGGGAAGGGACAAGGACAGAGCCCTGCCACTTGCCAATTTACATAAAATAGTGTATAGTAGATTACCGACCACAGTGGATTAACTACGTAGGCACGATACCCGTTGTGTCATTACAATCCCACCTGAAATGAAGTTCGTACTCATAAACACTCACGAGTCACCGTCTCGACTTTTCTCACAACTGAGGATTTGGGAACAATAACGGCTCCTGTCTGCTGGGTTAACCGTCCTGCGAAATGGAGCAGTACCTCTGCCATCTGCCTTCTGTCTGTCCAATCTCAAGCTTGCACTGACCAAACCGCCGTGGGCTGTGGCTAAAGACAAAGGACGGGGACGGGAGACGGCGTGGAGGGCATGGTGCGTTGCGGGTTGTGCCGCTTGACCTTGCCAGCAGCTGCTACTCCGTGCCCTTGCTTTACTCACTCCGTCTGTAGCGCACTAGGAATATTAGCAAGACACGTGTCACACCAATTTGCACATCACGTATGTGGTCACATTCCAGCGTTAGAAAAAATATTTTCAATGTGAGTCATGATAAGGGTTGATTGGGTTGATTTCAGAGGAACCATCGGACGTTTCAAATATAGTTGAAATAGAACGAACCTATATCTTGTATGTCTGCGTGCAAGCATTCAGCATTTAGAATTAACTGCATACCGGGTGGCTGGTCAACCCTGCGCGCGTCTGTACCGCATTCCTAGGCGCGGGCGGGTTGCCTACTCATTTTGCCCGTTGGCGGCGTTTTCAGGAGCAAAAGTCAAGAAAAGTCTGCGTGCGCTACAGTAAGTAATCAGGCACCTGAAACGTTGAGCATCGAATGTAGCAGGTAGCTGGTTAACCCCGCTCACTTTTGTAGTTATACTGTACCGTACGCACGAGTGCGGGCGGGTTGCCTATTGGCTCCACCAGTAAGGCGCCGCTGGGCGCCGCGCACAGTGGCGATAGGCAAGCCCACCCGCACTCCTGCGTGCGGTCTACAGTATAAGTACAGAAGTGAGCGGGGTTAACCAGCCACATGGTATGTACAAATACAGTGAACCGGGTGTATCAGAGCGCAGTGTTGTGGGTTTGCGTACTCCCTTCGTATGTAAGGCGCTATAGCCCCTGTGGCTCAGCTAGTATGCGTTCCCTAAACGCTGCAGTGTCCGCTTCTGAAACACCCAGGGCATGCGCATGTATTCAGTAACGCTTTGCTTCGCGTCGTGTGCAACTGACTGAATTACTGAAATGTGACCCCAAATTGGATCGCTTAGTGTGACATGTGTCCCACTTCCTCCTCCGTTGGCGTTGCAGCTAGATAGTATGTTGTGCGAACGACAGGCCGACAAAGGGCTATATAGGGCTTGCGCGGGGCGGGGGAGGGCCGGGAGGACGGCGCGCGCGTCCGGTCCACTCCACTCGTTACGCAAGTCGCAGCATCACGTGCGGGGGGTGGAGGGGGCGCCACGGCTGGTCCGCCCCGCGCGCGTCAGTAACGCTCCGCGCGGGGAAGGGGTTGGGGGGCTGCCGCCGGGAGGTCCAGGGTGTAAGGACTCACGGGGCTCGGGGAGGGGGGGTAGTCGGTCGCGTCCTCTAGAACTCCCCAAGGACACGGTGTTCGCGATGGTGGAGTCGTGTCCTCGAGGACAGCCCCTCCGTGGCACCCCATCCTCGAGCATAAGGCAGATGCCGCGCTGCTGCGCGGGCCGCCCGCGGCCGGCAGCGCGTCCTGGGGGTGAGGCGCGCCCCCGAGCAGCCACAGCCGCCCGAGGCTGCCGCGGGTCAACGAACCGGTCCGCGCGGAGACTTGAACGCCCTCTGAGCCGCGCCCCTAGCCGGGCCGGGCCGCGCCCGCCAGCGCAGCCAGCGCCGGCGGTAGCGCAGCGGCGCCTGGGATCGATAGGCCGAGCCAGCCGGCCTGGCGCGGCGCGACCCGCCCGGCGCGACCCGGAGGGACCGGGAGGGTAGCGGACGGGACGGGACGAGCATGAGGGGGCGGAATGTCACCGGCAGCCGGCAGCCCCGCTCTGGAGGAGTAGTAGTACCTCACACACCCGGAGACTGTCGCATCCGGGTGCTCCTCGCCCCGACTGAGGGACTTTCGGGTTTGCATCCTGCTAAACGCTTTGCGGCAGGCAACTGTCTTAGCGGTCTTCAGCAGACGAGAATCGGTTTTCTTGAAGGATATTCGTTAACGCCCTCAAGTCGGTGTTCTTCAGCCGGCCCCTGTGATTTCACTTCCGTGTAATATCCAGTTGAGAAATTGGTCATTTTCACGCTCCGCTGTAGCACCGCTGCTTCACCAGGGCACACGACAGCCTCTCCCTCCCGCTCCCCGGTCGGACTTGGACTGGCAAATCATATTGACTCAGCGGGCCCTGCTGACGCATTCTGGCGCAGTCTGACGCACGGTCCAGCTCGGCGCGGCCGTGTGGCGTGGCACTGCAGGGCCCCTCCCCGCGCCCGTCGCGTCGTCTGGCGCTGTTAAATCACCCACCCGTCAAGGAGAGCTCTGGTTGTAGTGCAGGTGGGGTTCGCCGTGGATGCCGTGGGGTCAGCCTGGGGGTGGCGCCGGCTGCCGGCAGGACGGCCTGGCCGGGCCGCCGCTGCATCCAGCCTCCCCGCGCCGCACCTCTGTGCCCGCGTCGCGGGAGTACCCCGCGCATCGGAGGTTCTGCACTCCCCCCGGAGTATCGGCACCCGGCCAGGGCCCAACGAACGGGCACAACTACCAAGCCAAGGCCCAAAGCGAGGCGACTGCCGCTCTTGCGATTGTCGACTCGGCTCCTCGGGAGCTTTTGCGGCCACAGTGGTGGAGTCTGCGTCTCGTGGGGTAGCGCCCCTCACCGCTCTGGGCGGGCGAGCCGGAAGGTAGGCATCTCCAACAAAATACCGACTCCTGAATACGTCCCTGCCCCGGAGCCAGCCGTCAGCTTCGTCAGCTGCGTCAGCTGCGTTGATGCTGATGATCACCAGGACCAGGACGTTAGCAGGAGCACCGGCGGGCTGGGGCTGAGGGTGTTGCTCTCCTCCCGTTCTCCCGGAAGCTCCACCCTCTCGCTCCACCCACATTCACCCCGCGCCTCGCCACGCCCCCCGCCCTGTCGCGACCAACCTCTCCCCTCTCCTTCCCCGTGGAGCTGGTGCCCGACTACAGCAGCGCGCGCAGCGCCGAGCAGCACTCTGACTCTGGACCACAACACGACGCCAAAACTTTTCGCGTGAGATTATTGTTCAGAGACCACAGTCGCGGGCGCGGGCTGTGCCACATCCAGGGTCGTTGACGTTGGTCAACAGTTCACTGCACCTTTGGGAGGAAGGCCTCCGGAATTATGAACTGTAACCTCTAGGCGCCGTCGACGCTTTACCCGTCAATGGAAGGTCGTTTTTCGAAGGTACCCACCTTTTTCGTCATCCGATGGGCTCTGTTGCGCGATTTCCAACACCCAACTACCACCGATGCGTGTCTCTGCCCGGATGGAAGGCCCTCACCGCACGCGATCGGGCCAAGGCTGGCGCCGACCAGCCGCGGACAGCCGCCGCGGGGAGTCTATGACCCGCCCGAGGATGTCCGTAGGCCAGCTGCGGGGAGCACAAAAAGGTCCGCGTACAGTACGTCTCCTTTGGATATACAGGGTGGCCCACATATGCACCGGACAATTTTACCAGTCATACTGTACCTCATGAAACCGTGTGGGCTGGCTTGCCTACTGTCACTACACATCACGACGCCTTATGGCCCCTTGCAAGTGGGCAACGCGTCCACACGGCTCCATGAGGTACAGTATAACTGCGACATTGTCAGGGGTGTGTGGGGGCCATCTTATACTGTGCCGCATGTAAGCGTGCGTGCGGATCGCCTACTCGTAGTCAGCGACGGTTAGCAAGCAAGCCAAAAGGAGCGAATGTCGTCCCCGAGAGCGTCCCTGGCTCTTTGCTCCAGCCAGGCTGCAGGCTCCAGTCAGGCCGGACGGCCGCCCCCAAAGATCGGCCCTCGTTTTCCGCTGCGACGCAACGCCCTGGCCAGCTCATATAACACGCGCGATGCGGTGGCCATGGTGTTGTTTTGGCCTTGATTCCCCGAAGCGACGTCGGAGGGCTGCTCGCTGCTCGCTCCGAGCAGGCGGCCCAGCCCAGGACGCGCTCTGGACCGCGCCCATGTGTGTGTGGGCGTGCGTGTGTACCTGGCCCCGCCAGACCTTGCCGGTGAGTCACGCCACATGACTGTCCGCTGCCATTGCTCAGCAAAATTGCAATGAAATTCGCGAAAATCGTTGTTGGATTAGATTTTATTCTGCTCGTCAGTCGAGTGAGGCAAATCTTCTGCTGCATTCACCACTACGCAAAGTCGAATGATTTGCGTCAATGGCCCGTCAGCAGCAGTCCAGTCATTGACCAGGCGGTGACCCGTCAGTGACCCGTCAGTGACCTGTCAGTGACCTGTCAGTGACCTGCGGGCGCGGGTGGCTGCTCGCGCGGCGGAACGTTGCAGTTCCGCTGACCTGGGAGCGTCCAGCCCGCCCCCTGCCCCCACCTTACC